ATATATATATATATATATATATTATAAGAGCTACTAAAATGAAAAAGGTTTAATTATTCATTGATTCCTATGGTTTCAAAAAATTTATCTATTAATTTTTATAATTAAAAATATTTTGTTTTAATCTTTATAGATACGTTCACAATCAAAATTCCGATGGGATGATGACAAATAAAATAAAGCTAAATTCACAAATAACATTTGATTTTAGGAAAATATTGAAAAAATCTCTTCAAGAAAATGAAGGTATTTAAAATCAAATTTTGAGTTCAAGAATTATTTGTGTGAAAGGAAAATATTAACACGTATAACATCTGTAAAATCAGTTACCTTTAATTAAATATGCAAAATTAAGATTACTTTAAAATTATTTATTTTTCCATGTAAAATAAAACAAAAATATTTTAGCCTTTATTTGTATATTAATTTATTTTCAAATTTTACATTGAACAAACTTTATTATTTTAAAATATATATTTTTATTTTCTTTTAAGTCAACAAGATGGATTCTTATTTTTACGTATTCTCGAATGTCAATAAGAAAATCAAAATTATGCATTTTTTGTAAATATAAAAATATTTGGGTGTTGATATTTTTTATTTAGTTATTTAATTATTTTTATTTTAAAAGTTATTTTGATAATCAAATAAGAAAGAGTTATGAAATGATTATCACTTTTAACTATAAGTTTTCGCAATAATGAAATAGAAAGAAGATCTAAAATAAATATCACTGATATTTATTAATAATATTCTTAGAAACTATTTAATAATTTTAGTTAGATCATTCACAATAAGTAAACATAAATGAAATCCAAAATAATACTCAATCTTATTATTTAGAAGATCATTTAACATCTAGAAAGATTTTTTCGTGATAATCAAATAGAAAGAAAATCTAAAATGATTATCATAATATCCTTTAATAATACTTGTTTTAGAAGTTATTTAATATTTTTGACAAAATCAACCACAATAATAAAAAATAATCAAATAAAAATGAGATCTAAAATAATTTAGTGTGTTTGATTTTATTATTTAGAGAATTATTCAATATCTGATTTTTTTTTTTGCAATAATTGAATAAAAAAATAAATTCAAAATGATTAATAACATGTCTTTTATTAATATTTATTTTAAAAGACACCAACGTATTAGCAAAAATCAATCACAAATTCACAATAATCTTGGTGTACAAAAATATTTCACAATAATCAAAAAAATAAGATTGAAAATAATTATTGTGCTCAATTTCATTATTTAGAAGATTATTTAATGCTTAAGATTTTCATAATAATCAAACATGAAGTTTGTCCATAATGATTATTGTAATTTTTGGATTAAATTGTATTTTTGGTTCTTCTATTTTTGTTAATATATAATTTTGATTATTCTGTTTTAAAATATAAATATTTAGTCTCTTATTTTGAAAAATATAAAATTTTAGTTCTATCATCAATTTAATGTTCGTTGATCATTTAACGGTATTTGATAATCTATCACCATTTAAGTGATATAATTTTTACTGATGTGACATAATATAAAAATGAAAAATAACATATAATAATTTTTTGTTTGTATCTATTTTTATGAGTGATTAATATTTATTTTATTAATAAAAAAATTATTTACATATTTTTTAAATTTTTCATTCTTAAATATCATATTATTAAATGTCACATTACTTAAATATGAGAAAATATTAAAACTTAATAATTAATAGATGTCAATTTAATAGGGAGACTAAAATTCTCTATTTTTAAAATTAGATGAAATAAATATCTCTATTTTAAATTAAAGAAATTAAAATTAAAAATTAATAAAAATAAAACTAAAAATATAATTTAACGTGACTCTTTTATAATATCTAAATGGGAAGTGTGTCTAATGTAGCTATTACTAAACCTCTTTTAGGAATATCTAAATCAGAAGTATGTCTAAAATAGCTATTACTAAACTTTTATGTTATAAATACTTACTTTAATAATGCAATATATCATTTTAGTTGAATAAATAATTTGGTAATTTTAATAAAAGTTAGTATTTGAAATAAAAGTTAGAACACGGGTTAAACTTCTCACTTCCTAACAAATTTATTCTCGTTAATTTTATATATTATTTGAAAATTAAACTAGTACGCATAAACTACCAAAATAAAATAGCATTAGAAAATGATTAGACGAACCTAAGTAAAAAATAGAAACATATATATGTGAATATATATAAAAACACGTGGCATGGAGAAGACGTGAGAGAGAGAAATGGGTTTGTAGCTGTAATAGGGCATGGCGTGTCCCAAGGTTATTGGCCACAACCACACGAAGGACTAAAGAGAGAATCTTAAATTAACAATGAATCTTAAATGTTTTGGTATAATTAACATATTAAATTAGTGATTTAATTAGAAACGCTTAAAATAAGTGAAAATGGAAAGATAACTATCATGTCACAATATATAGTCAGCATAAGCTTACAGAATTTTAACTACGTAAATATGTGAAAGATTTAAATATAAGATTTTTACATCGTAAGAATTTTTTTAACTATAAACACCTAATTAAAATTGATAAAGCTATAGGAATCAACAGATTAATTTAAAAAAAATACTTTATAAATTTTAATATTTTCGAGATATAGTTATTGCATTAGATTTTTTTCTTTCTTGAATTTACCAAAGAAAGAAGTGATAGATTTTTTTGCAAATATAAGAAGATACTTTTTTTTAATGTATTTAAAAGGGTTGTTTATGCTACTAAAAATCCACTCAACACATATCATCTATCATGGAATTGTTTCCTCGAGCAATGACTTTCTTTCTAATTTTTTTTATTAGTTATTTCTTTTGTCTTGGTAAAGCCATAGATTGTGGTGGGAAGAGTGTTTCATATACTATCTATGTTGATCAATCTGGCAAAGTTGGATTTAGAACAATTCAAGCTGCCATTGATTCTATAAAGTGGAATAATAATCAATGGGTCAAAATTCACATAAAAGCTGGATTATACATGTAAGTTGAATTCATATTATTTATAACATCTTGTATTATATTTTATTTTATTTTATATTGATTTTTTTATCGGGTTACGCATAATTAACTCTTTAAACATTAAATAAGACAATATATCTACTCCTTTATTATTTTTTTAAAATGATGTTATTTTTATAAATACAAAAAAATTGAACTACAAATAACCAAGTAATTATCCACACCTTCTTAATATTTTTATCATTATACAAATTATCTTGTTAGTAGTAGTGGGCCTTCCATCTAAAATAGGATGGACAAAAATTATCTTATTAGTACCTTTGTAGAGATTGTTATCTATCCCTCAAACCTAGATTGAAATGGACCTAAAAGTTCTCTTTATGCTTGACCCAATTAAAGTCAAAATCACGCCTTGTCACGCAATTTGTGTCATTTTTAACATCTCTACCCATATTGTCCATGCATCCACTAACATAAAGGAGTACTCCTTCCATCTTAAAACTTTGGTTTTTTTAGTTTTTTAATTTTGTTTAAGACTTTGGTTCTTTTAGGATTTAAATATCTTTGTTTTTTCTTCTTCTTCCAATTATACTCTTGCTTAGTTGATTAATTATGACTAATTTAAGTGAAGTATTAATGTTATGTTTTTATATATTTTATATTGAAATGAACATTAATGAAAGGCCCATATAGAATGAACTATCTAAATGAAGTGGCTGGAAATATTGTAAAAAGTCATAAATTATTAGACGAGAGTAATTTAATTTAAATGTAAATAAATTAAATATTGCTTAGTCTTCGTGTAAAATGTTAAAAGAAACAAAACTTTAAATTAAAGGAAATATTATTTGAGTTAATCATCTATGCATTGACAGTCTAAATTTTTTTTACACTAGCAACCAATTATATCTTTTAATTGTGTCATGTCACTGTTAAAAGTAAATGTGTTTACAGTGACATGACACAGTTAAAAGATATAATTGATTGCTAATATAAAAAAATTTTACACTAGTAGTATATAAGTGATTATCTTTCAAAAGAAAACAATAACTTTTAAGTATTAATTGCTCCAACATTAATAAGGAAATTAGTGGACAATATCTTTCTTTATCTTTGACATTTATGACATACTAGTGGAGTCATGACAATATTTATATTTTATTTAATAAATATATTTAAAAATAATTAATGTTCATTAAATCAATTCGTGTTACACATCAAAGTTTTGAATTTGTAAAAGTAATTAATTTTTAATATTATCTTTTATTATAAAAAATTCATGACTAAAATCGTCTAAAACATGTAAACTAAATCACACTATCATCCAAATTAAAATAATCGGGCAGTATACCGGGTATAATTCCTGAAATTGGCTTTAAATATAATGTATCAACATCATAAAAGAATTTTAATTATTGGAAAGTACATGATGACTAGGCCAAATCATTTTTTGTGATTATATAATATAGTAATATTTTTTTTATCAATGGTACTCGATACTTTTGATTAATTTATTTTATAGTAAAATATTTTTCTATGTATTTCTTTATACAAATAAAAATACAAAAGATAATTTTAGACAAGATGAAATTTGATGATAGATGAATGTAATTATTTATCACTTTGTACCAATATACTTTATTATTATACAATTAGTTTAAATAATTTATATAATATATTTTTAATTTAAAGTTATGAATTTAATTATATTAATTTATGCGATTCAACTAGTTTATAATTTGATTGCTTTATTAATATTATATTGACTCTAATTTTTTTTTTACTTCTTTAAGGTATCATATGAATATTATTAAAATTTATAGGTATAAAATATATATGACATAAATGTTATTTTAAAAATTAATAAATACGGGATCATGGTGTTAAATTAGTGATCCACCGGTTGGATCTCTGATCCACTGATCCCGTATTTTAACTGGTTTGATGATCGATCCAATTTTTAAAATATTAACCAAAAGTCTTATTTACCATTCTAATAATGTCCATTTAACATAGACCACTTATTTATTTATCGTGTTTGCTATTGTTTCTTTAAAAAGGAATGCATATCCAATCTCATTTTTTTCTTATTTTCATTGATGTTAGAATTAACTTTATTGAAAAATCACCTTGCATGTGATTTTTTTTTTCTTCTTAAATTTGGAATATTTTAAGAATTTACCTACATTTTTACAAAAAAAAAAAAATGTATATAATTATTCCTATATTGTAATTATGCAGGGAAAAAGTTCAAATTCCCGCAGAAAAGCCATGCATCATCTTAGAAGGAGAAGGTAATCAATATACAATCATAAGTTTCTATGGCCACGACACAACAAACAATAGTGCTACATTCACTTCATCGGCATCCAATGTGTTTCTGACTAAGATTGCTTTCAAGGTGAACACATAAATAGTTGATAAAAACAATCATTTTGACAACTCTAAAAAAATTACTTATTTCTAATATATTGTTACATAATTGAAGAACTCATATAATACCGGAAGTAAAGGCCAAAAAATATTTCCAGCAGCGGCAGCACTAATACAAGGAGACAAATCTTACATCTATGGGTGCAAATTTATAGGTTATCAAGATACTTTATTTGATGCACTTGGACGTCATTACTATAAAGATTGTGACATTCAAGGTGAAGTGGACTTTATTTTTGGTTTTGCACAATCTTACTTTGAGGTAATACATAAATGTATTTTTTTTTTTTTTGTTTCATTTTAAAAATGGAATAATGAGCATATTCATTTTTAAGTGATTTTTTTTTTGTCATTTGTAGAATTGTTCCCTCTATGTTATAGGGAGAAATGCAGCCGGTTATGTCACAGCTCAAGGGAGAGATTCACCCAATAGTCCAAGTGGTTTTGTATTTGAAGGGGGTAACTTAATGGGAAATGGTAAAGTGAATTTAGGAAGAGCATGGCGTGCTTACTCAAGAGTCATATTTCATAAAACATATTTTTCTTCGGTGGTAACTCCTCAAGGATGGAATAATTTCGGTCGTGTTGGTCAAGAGTAAGTTTAAATAAATATATGTCTTCAAAAAGGATAATACAAAAAAAATTATCATAATTTTCATGACTTAAAAATTACTATTAATATTATATCATGTTTTCATCAAGAAAAGGTGGATATTTTTTGTATTGATATTTTATATGGTAAGACATTGTTTTCTTCATTTTCTCTTTTAAATTTGTTAACAAATGTTTGTAGGGATAATTTTACTTATGCTGAAGTTGATTGTAAAGGACCAGGAGCTGATACTTCAAAGCGTGTTCCATGGATAAAAAAGTTGAATCCATCACAATTAGAAGAATTTTCTTTAACATCTTTTATCAATAAAGATAATTGGATTGACAATTTACCAAATATCTTCTAATAATTTATATTCCCTGATTTAAGTTGAGAAATTTTGTACGTGAATGATCCGCAATTATTAATGTTTGTAAACTCAACTAAATGTAATGGTTTGACATATGAAGGATCTTTTATATTTTTAATAAATAAAAGCAAATATATCGTGAAGTCATGATGAGTTATGTTACTCTTATTTTGTTTTGTTTTATGATGAGCTAATTCGTCGAAGAGAAAAAGAAAAGACACGGGCTTGTTAGTTACAGTGACTTTAATAACCTCAAGATGATTTTTTTTGGGGGTGCAAACGTGTTTTATTGTCCATATTTTTTATTGTTGAAAAGTTATATTAATCCAAACATTATCCTGTGTCATAATTAATAAATTAAAAGAAATGCCTATATGATATATTGAAACATTTTTATTTAATTTTCTCTTAATTTGTAAATAAATTTATGCAATAATAAGTTCATTTTAACTGCGCTTCATATAAATGTCTATAATCAATACCTCAAAATGCCTTAAATTTAGTCTTACACATATTTTTTCCCCATCAAAATGTGTGTAATTTTGTCCTTTAAATTTCAATAGAGTAATTTTGGTTGCCAAATTTACTTGAATAATTTTAATCTATAAAGTACTATAATTGTACAATTTTAATTTATCTTATTAGCCTAATAAAAATTAATATATATATATATATATATATATATATATATATATAATTAGGAACCAAAATTCGACATATATCATTACTACTAAATAAAATATATACTATTAGTCTAAATAATATTATTGATAAATTAATATATTATAACACAATATTTTAAAAAGTTAAATATGATTTTAGTCCCCATAGAATGAATGAGTTTTGATTTTAGTTTATATATAAAAAATTCTTTATTTTTTATCATTCTAAAATTTGTAAACATTATTTTTTGTTATGATAAAATGAAAAGATTTTGGTTTTGGTCCATGTAAAATGTTTTTCTTTGATTTCAATTCCTATAAAATCTAATGTCATTATTTTTAACCCCTAACGACTATATCAAAATAGATAAATAACATTAATTCATTTTAATGTTATTTTTAGTCCCAAAATCATAGTGTTATACATCTTTTTCATTCGGTTGTTGAAGATTATTGGTGATTGTTGAGATGATGAAGATCATTGAGATAACAAGAAGGCTCCTCAAGAAGTTATAGTTTTGATGATTTTGTATAAATAATGTTTGAGCCTATGCAAAATGATATTGTATTGATTGTAATAGAAATAGGCTTGTGTGTGTGTTTGTTTATGTTTGATGATGCATGCTTAATTCAAGAATCTATCAAGCTTTTAAAATCCAAGAATGTGTTTTTTAAGCATTTCTATGAGTTAGCATGAAGTAATAGGTTATCTTGAAAAAGGTAATGTACTACCAAGTGCTTAAACATAGAAATAAAACTTGATTCAAAAAAGAGTTTTCAAGGTAACTTTGTTAATCAAATTACCATTTAGGGTAATAGATTACCAAGTCTGTTACTGAAAAAGGATATTCAAATATCCTTTGTGTTAATAGATTATCAAGTCTGTTACTGAACATATTTTTAAAGAACTCTCAGAGGTAACAGATTACCAAAGTTCGTAATAGATTAAAACAGAGTCTCTTGCTTGGAATTCGACTGAAAAAATGAAGTTATCATCGTGTTAATTGATTATCAATATAGACAATCGATTACCATAGAGTGATATGCAAATCTGGACTTTTCAAGCTTAAGTTAATTGATTACCACCTGGGATAATCGATTACCCTGGACAATTTTCATGTTTTCTGGTTCAAATAAAGAGCAGGTAACAAACTATCTACACAAGTAGTAGATTACTACTGTTATTACTCTTTAAAACTGAATCACATCTTGCACTTACTCTTTATAACTGAATCACATCTTGCACTTTATAAAAACAATCTTTTTGAAATTAAAAAGACACCGATTAGAAATCTTTTGAAAGAAAAACATTTTAGAAGAGTGATATTTTCATAAACAAGATAAAAGTGTGAAAAAAGAAACTTTCTGAAAAAATTCAATAAGTGCAAAGAAAGAACATGAATTCTTGAAAGAAGAAATTCAAGAACTGGACTCAAGAGTGAAAGATCAACATCTTCACAGAACTAGGTGATATTGCTCTAATCTTTGAATTTGTATTTTCGTTTTTACTGTTGTATCTCTTGAGATATGGTGTCTCAACAAGAGATAATGAAATATTGAGAAGGGTTTCTCAAGTAATTTCTGTGGGGTACATAAATTTTGATTGTTCTCAATCTTGTGATGTCAAGATTGATGTGTGTTTGATATTCTTGTAATATTGTGTATGCAAGATGTTTGTAAACAATATTATAGTGAATGATATTTGATTTGATAGGGTGCTAAATCAAGGAAAACTGGATGTAGGCCAAGTGGATGACTGAACCAATATAAATTTCTGTGTTCTTCATCTTCTAACCCTTATCTTTAAAGAATCTTGTTAAATTCTTGTTTTAAAGATTTTAAAGATTTGAAAAAACGAAATTTCAATTACAGTACCAATTCTGATCTTAATTCTTGTAATTGAACTTGAGAAAAAAAGAAGGTAATATAAAATCAACCTTGATTACAAGTGATTGATTCACTGCACATACTTTGATACTTTGCTACGTCAATAATAGACCTTGTAATCTACTGCTAATTGTTACTCAATTGCTTAAAGGTTGTATTTTAGTTTTCTTGATAGGTTATTTTTCAAGAATTGTGAAAAGAGTGTTATCTTAGGAGAGAATCTATTCAATCCCCCTTCTAGATTCTAGTATACTAGGACCAACATCAGTAATGGTTGTTTTTGTGTACATTTAACATCAATTGTTTGTTGTTACCCAAGACCTTTTAGTGAGATGTTTTTGGATCAGGTGAGTCTCCAATTTAAGCACTTTATCAGCTAATTTTCACAAAGTATTTTGTTGTAAAATCATTTGCAATGTTTGATTTATGTATATAATGAGGAACCTTCAATCATAGGAGCAGCTAGCTCTATAAAGAAAATCATGGCAGATATTGCAAAAAAGGAATTTTATCCAATCAAGACAAGTTCATTATACACTTAATAAAGTGTAACACGACACGTTTTGTCAACTTTTGCGTTTTATCAATAGTAGTATGTTCAGTTGCTTTGAGGTGAGGTGTTGAAAGAACATAGTTAAGAAACTCTTGAGGATTTTTTAGGTGTTTAAAGGATTTCTCTGGACACAAATCTAGTTTGACCTTGAGAAAAAAAGTATATAAAGTTTCTTTTGAACTTGAGTCTCATAAACTCAAGTTCTAGAGAAACCTAGAGAGAGAAGCTCTAAAGATTCTGATCCTTCTTCTTCTACTTTCTAGACTTCCCAAGCGTGTAGGATCATTATTGACCAACAGGGTTCGTGATTCAAGGTTGTTAGAGCCAAGAATTAGTGGTGGTGTAGAGTCTCAGAGTTCTCAAAGCTCAACTTTCATTCTCGTTCTTCTTCTTCTTCCTCAAATGCTCTTTAGATTAAAGGTAAAGGAAGCTAAATTGAACTCTTAATGAGTGTTGTTGAATTGTGAAGCCACATGATGCTTGTTTTTACTAAATTTGTAGTTGTGTTGGTTGATTTTGGGCAAATTGCATGCTCAAATTGGGTTTTAGTGTTCTTGGTGAAGGAGGAAAAAGTTGATGATCAAGTTGATGTTTTTTTGTTGCATGCCTCCTTTTTCTCCATATTTCAAGTTGCATGTTGATTAGTAGATGATATATGATGAGTTTTATTTGAGTCTAGATGAGAGGATTTTGAATTATAGGGGGTTTTCTCGAGTTGATGAGTTCTTCTCTAAGTTCATGCATGTTTTATGGGCTTGCTCATTCAAAGCAACAATGGGGTTGCTTGAAGCAAGTGAGTGCGACCATTTTAGAGGAGGTCCTTGACTTGACTCGCTTAGAGCGACAATGGGGTTGCTCGAAGCAAGCGAGTGTGACCATTTAAGGGGAAGTCCCTAACTTGGCTTGCTCAGAGCTAGGAGATATGATGGTTTAGAGGTAGTCTCTGAATTTTAGAGTGGATTCTTGAGTGCTCAGAGCGAATTTCTCTCGCTTAGAGTGAGAGATAACTCACTTTAAGCAACAAGATTGAAACTCCCAAGGGTGTTCTCTATCTGGGCTCATTCCAAATGACTTGTTGGCCACTTAGAGCAAATTTTTGTAGCCCCCAAGCAAGCTTTGGGACACTTTAAGCACTAGTTTCACTTTTTAATTGTAATCTTCTTCACATCTCTTATTGTGTTGGTTGTTTTACATGATTGAATGGTTGAAATTATGAGTTGAACACGTATGTGATAGTTATATTTATAACATGTGTATGTTGATTAGTTCTTTATATATTGATCTAGGATAATGTATATTAATGATTTAACTGTCGATAATTATATGTTGTTGAATGATGATATTTCTATGTATATTGATTTGAGATAATATATGTAAATGTTTGTATGGTTGAAATTGTTGATATGCATTGACATGTTATACTTGAATGGTGTTATTTGGTTTCTATATTCATTGACCTGGAGTAATACATATAGATAATGTGTGTTGTGGTGTTGATGATAAGAATGTTGTAGGTATTAAAACATATTGATTTACTTAGGACTAGAGAAGAGGATGTTTTTGAAAGTAGAATGTCCATGGCGTGGATATTGATATGGTGCTTTGGGAGGCAATTGATTAAAAACCATCTTTAAGTAGGTGATAACTCTTGACAAGGATTATTGAATTTCCTCTACATCCTTAGTCAATGTGAGTAAGGTATGAAGTCGATGACTACAATCTTTAACTGATTATTGAAAAGATTGCATGGTACCTTAAGAATAGTTAGCAAGCTAATCCTACAATTGACTTAGTAATAAACATGTAGTAATTTTTACTAATAAATCTAAATTTTTTAAAAAAGACAATACTTATAATGATACTGGAGATACTAAAAACAAAAAAAAACCAATTGGCTTTAATACGTTATTCCCATATCAAGGTTGTGGTACACTCATACCCAGCTATGCTAGTCCTGACGATGGAACCGGACTTTCCTAATT